TTGTCATTTGAACTGTTTGGAAATGGAGCGTAAATGTGGAAGTCCTTCAAAGATTTCTTATCCTGTTGCGCCCTCTATAGGACCAGCGACTAGTCGACGTCAAGCTTAAAGCGTCATGGCAGAGCATTGAAGTCGACTAGTCGATTAGTCTGTGCAACCCCTAATTCATATATGAATAGATTTTTACGTACACCTCTAGTTTTCTCTTCCTCTTCTCTAAAGCAGCGCAGCATGGCCTCGCCCCCTTTGCTGCCTTTTCCTGAGGGCAGGGTTAATCTGGGTTTGTTACGTCACGAACCAGGGAAGTAACTTGCTGTAGTCCCTACCAGCCATTTTTGTAGGCATTAAACTGCCAGAATTTTAAAAGATATCTCTGTTTGCATTAGACTTTCAGCTTCGTAACTTTGCATATATTGTTTATGCTCAAACAGCAACATTACACACTAATGTTAAAAAAGTGAAATCGCAATCAACCACCCCTTTAATTGTTGGCGATTTTAATATCCATGTAGATAATGAAAAAAAATGCATTGGGATCAGCATTTATAGACATTTTAAACTCTAGTGGGGTTAGACAACACGTGTCAGGACCTACCAGGGTTGCCAGGTTTTCACAACAAAACCCGTCCAATCGCTATTCAAAACTAGCCCAATCGCATTTCGAGGGGGTCCCCCGTTAAAATTCACATTCCAGGGGCTAAATATCACATTATTTGGGTCGCTTCAACCCGCAGACATGAAAAACAACCTGGACTGTTAAAGTAGCCCAATTCCGTGGGAAAACCGAAGACTTGGCAACACTTGGCTACATTGATTAGGTCAATCGGAACTGGTAACACTTCCCATAACACCCGATGTACTTGTTACATCATAAGAAAAATGACATCTACGTCTACATCTACATCTTGTTTCATTCTTATTCCGAGGTCAATGCAGCCACCCAGATTCAGTCTGTATACAGATCAGATAGTCACTGCAGTCACCCAGATCCGGTCCAGATGGTGAATCAGCACCTAGAGACGACCTCTACAGCCCTGAATGTCAGCGGAGACCATGTCAACTAGAAGAGAACCAGATCCCCTGCGAAGCCCTCATCAACTAGACCGCCATCGGGACAAGAACACGAGAACCAGATGAGTCCTCTGCTCAGTCTGACTTGTGTTGCAACCTGGAATCAAACCATGCCATGCTGGTTTTGTCTGGCCAGAAGAGAGCTGGCCCCAAGACTGAGCCTGGTTTCTCCCAAGTTTTTTTTTTTCTCAATTTCTGTCACCGATGGAGTTTTGGTTCCTTGCCACCGTTGCCTTTGGCTTACTTAGTTGGGGACACTTATGGCGCTTTTCCACTGCGTGGTACGACTCGGCTCGGTACGGCTCAGTACGGTACGGCACGGCTCGGTTCGGCTCGGTTTGCGTTTCCACTGCAGTTTAGTATCGCTTTAGAGTGGGCGGGATTATTCACATGTCATTATAGTTGCACCGCCTCTACTGCCGCGACTCCTAAAAAACTTTTTCATTCCGCGTCGCCCCATCAAGCTCTCGAAAAGCGCCATAAATTTCTTTCAGTATTGTTGATTTGATTGCACAGACACTATTTGAACTGAACTGAGCTTCTGTCATGATTCAGTTAGGAGCACGGGAACGAAGGAGTGAGGAGACGAGGAGTAAAGTAAATTCCAAAGTCTTTAATGAAACCAAAGCTGGGAACACGGGGAACACAGAACACGAAATGACATTTAACAGCAGACAGGAAACGAAGGGCAGAATACACTTTAAATCAGTGCTTCCCAAACTGTGGGCCGTAGCGGTATTGCAGGGGGGCCGTGGCTAGGCTAAATCAAAATATTAAAATATTTAAAATATTCTAATTGTTCTAAAATGTGATTCCCCCCCCCCTCCTTATTACACAAATAAAAAACACAAACATTTTTTTTTCCCATTATAGCGAGGTGAGATACATTGCTTATTTTCAAACTGACGTTGGTTGCTTAGTAGGAATTCAGTCACAATTAACCATCAATTCAAAAATGCGACGGTGGCTGCTCGGTAAAAGAGGAGTAGAGGATGACAATCCATCCTCATCAACTGGACCTAACTGCACTTCAAGTAAACGAAAGACTCGTAAGTACAGCGAGGAGTACTTGTCCTTCGGATTTACCAGTGTTGGTCCTGCTGACAACCCCACGCCTGTCTATGTGATATGCTCAGAGACCCTTTCTAATGAGGCACTGAAACCATGCAAGTTATGCCATCACCTCGAAACAAAACATGGGTCGTTTGCCAGCAAGCCTCGAGAATAAAAAAAAAATTAATTGAAAGATTACCAGCAACGTAAAAAAGTGATTGAGTCAAACTGTGTGACGGGTGGCGAAAATGAAAAGGCAGTGACAGCATCGTATGAGGTATCAAGACTGATAGCTACATCTGGAAAGCCCCACACCATAGGTGAAGACTTCATTTTACCAGCCACTAAGCAGATGGTCAGCATAATGCTGGGAAACAATGCAGTTAAGCAACTTAACTCGATTTCTTTATCAAACAACACGGTTAAGCGCCGAATTAATGATATGGCCGAGAATGTGTTCCAGCAGCTAATTTGCAGAGTTCGAGCGAGTCGTTTTTATGCAATTCAAATCGATGAGTCCACAGACATCGCGGGTATGGCGAATTTGCTCGCATTCGTTTGTTTTAGACAATGCTGTCAGAATGGTGAATTACATTAAAAGTCGTCCACTGCAAGCACATTTGTTTTCCCTTTTGTGTGAAGAGATGGGTAGTGAACACCGCCAGCTTTTCCTACATACCGAGGTCCGCTGGCTCTCACGCGGCAGAGTGCTCACCCGGCCCTTCCAGTTACGTGACGAGGTCAGAACATTTTTCATTGATTCCAAATTTTAACTTGCAGACTGCCTCTGTGATTTCGACTGGCTTTGTAAATTGGCCTACTTGGCAGACGTTTTCAGCCACTTGAATGGACTCAATCTAGCCCTACAGGGGACAGCAGTAACAATGTCATAACAAAATAGAGGCAACCATAAAGAAAACTGATCTGTGGGGGAAAAGAATTGCCCGAGCCAACTATGAGTCCTTTGAAAACATGTCCGACTTTTTGTCTAAGGAAGAAAGGCCACTTCTCGTCACTGCAGCAGTTGCTATGACAGAGCACATGCAGGCTTTAAAGTCTCAGATGCAGGACTACTTCCCTGACATCAGCAAACAGCAGAGCTGGATACAGTATCCCTTTGCCAACCACAGTGAGGATGTAATTGCGGGACTTACCTACAAGGAACAGCACAGCCTCGTCGATCTATCCTGTGACAGCTCCTTGAAACTGATTTTTTCTGAAAAAACTTTGACTCAGTTCTGGTTACATGTGTCAAACGAATACACTGAACTCACCAACAAGGCAATAATGTTTTTGATGCCGTGTGCCACAACGTATATGTGTGAAGTGGGATTTTCGGTGCTTGTGGCCTTAAAGACAAAGTACAGGAATGCGTTGAGTGTGGAATCTGATCTCCGTCTTAAATTGACATCGATTCAACCAGACATCAAATCCTTAACAGTTGAAAAACAACATCACCCATCTCATTAGGTACTGTCTGGAAGACTGCTGATCAGACTGTGGGACTATTCTTTACTAAAACTGACTAAGTTTACATCGTTCCTCAGTTTAAATGTAGATGTTTTCAGTGGAGCTTTTGCTATGTTTTTGGGGGGCCTTACCCCTCTGAAGTTTGGGAAGCTCTGCTTTAAATACACAGTAACTAATTAAACACAGCTGGAAACAATAGAACTAAATAGGGACAGGAACAGGAAAAACCAAATATGGGCATCGTCATCAAACTGGAACACGTGGGGGAGGAAAACAAAACACGAGACATGGAACAGACTCTCCCGGAAGGCGCGTCCTCGCACCACACAACATCCAACGGGGAGGGGAGGTGGGCGCTCTGGAGGTCCCTCAGGACAAACACGGGACGATTCAGGGACTGGAGCCCTCCTTGGGCTATACTCGGGAACAGGAGCCCTCACTGGGCTAAACTCGGGGACAGGAGCACTCCGTGGGCTAAACTCGGGAACAGGAGCCCTCTGTGGGCTAAACTCGGGGACAGGAGCCCTCCGTGGGCTAAACTCGGGAACAGGAGCCCTCTGTGGGCTAAACTCGGGGACAGGAGCCCTCCGTGGGCTAAACTCGGGAACAGGAGCCCTCCGTGGGCTAAGCTCGGAACCGGAGCCCTCACTGGGCTAGACTCGGGGACAAGAGCCCTCACTAGAGCGAGCTCTGGGGCTGGAGCCGACACTGGAGCGAGCTCTGGGGCAGCCGGCGGACCTGACTTCAGAGCGGCCGGTGGGCTTGTGGGAGCCGTAGCTAGCGGGCTTGACTCAGGAGCGGCCGGCAGGCTTCTGGGAGCCACGGCTGGCAGACTTGACAACGGCGCAGCTGGCGGGCTTGTCTTCGGAGCGGCATTGTCAACAAACTGGAACACGTGGGGGAGGAAAACACAACACGAGACATGGAACAGAGTTTGACAGCTGGAAGATGACATCACTGAATCAGTGATGAACTGACTTTAACTAAAAAATGTAGTGTTTACTATTGTCCTCTTGCATTATCGACACACTATTTTCCTGTTTAATACTGCAAAGCTGCTTTGACACAATCTGTATTGTATAAAGTGCTATATAAATAAAGGTGACTTGATTTGACTTGACTTGACTTGACATACATTTACAGGCAGTAGGACAGCCTATCGTAGCCTTTGGACCGAGGGATATGATTGGATGAACATTTTATGGTGCTACACCTTCCACAGACAATATAAATACAAATAAATACATTTAGACCACTTTACTTAGTGATTGCTATCGGGATGTGAAGAGACTTTCAACCAGCATAACCAAATCACCTACCCTGCCTTTCAGAGATGACAGGCATGACATCTGGAGTTAAAGAAGTGTCAAGATTCTTTTTTTGCTGATGCAAAAAAAGCCAGCAAACTGTATTGACTCTGTTTTAATTATATAAACACAACTGTACAATTTAAGTGTAAACAAATTGTAAACTTTTCATTAGAATTTACATCAGTTTATATTATTCAGTTAATATGATTTATTATTTAAATCTCTGTATCTGTAAATTCAGTTACAGGGGGGACTTGTCCCCTTCAATGTCTATGGTGGTTACAGCCCTGAAATGCAGTTAACAACATTGCCCAAATGCCTGTCCAATTCGTGTTGACCAACATTTTGTGTTCATTTTGACATGATCCAATGTATAATGTTATTCAAATTAAACACAAGTTACTATCCTTTAAATCAGCAGATAATACAAAGAAGATTATTTTCTTTATGCATGGCCGTCATTTACCGAGAACACTGCCAGTGTAAGAACAGGGAACTTTCTCAAACACCTCAAATGTGCATGTAGTGTAATCGTACTCCACTTGGCACTTGTCAGGATAATTAACTGGCCTCTGCATTCTACAGGAATAAAACAAAACAAAATGAATTATTATGTGTTTTATCAGTCCGAAATTCTGTCACAAAATGCACAGCTCTGGAAAAAAATAAGAGACCACTCCAAATTTTTCTTTAATCAGCATCTCTATGTGTACAGTATGACAGCCATTCCACTGCCTGTCTGTTGAATTCCAACAGATGCATACCTCATTATGCATGCTTAAAGGGGTCATATGACGTTGCTAAAAATAACATTATTTTGTGTATTTGGTGTAATGCAATGTGTTTACGCGGTTTAAGGTTAAGAAAATATGTTATTTTCCATATACAGTACATTATTGTTGCTCTTCTTTCTGAAACATGTCAATTCTAACAAAGCTCATCATTCTGAAAAGGGAGGTGTGCTCTGATTGGCCAGCTATCCAGTGCGTTGTGATTGGCCCAATACCTCAAGCGTGTGACGGAAATGTTATGCCTTTACCATACTGTGATGCCCTGTCCGGCCGGAGCGACTAGACAAAAACATTAAAAAAAACATTGTGGGGACATAATTACGGATTATAATGACTTATACTGTCTTTTTACTACACAGAGTGCGTGTGATCGCGAAATCGAAAGTGAAAGTAAACATCGCAAACGCTCATTCAAAATGACATAATGCTCATTCAAAATGACAAAATGACATCTCATCTCACTTACGACAAAAGAACACTTTTGGACATTGGACACCGCTACACTAACCTGTTTCAGGACACTTTATCCTCCAACCCATCGTGGCCATCTGAGATTCTACTTGAATAACACACCGCGGCGACGGATTAAGAAACACCGCAGGAAACGTGCTGGGATCCGCAACAGACTGAGGAAAAGAGCACACAACCCTCCTCTGCCGAGTATTCTGCTTGCCAATGTCCAATCCTTAGAGAATAAGTTGGACGATCTTAGAGCCAGGATAAGTTTCCAACGGGACATTAGGGACTGTAACATCCTTTGTTTGTCTGAAACATGGCTAACGACCTCGGTCCCGGACACTGCTGTAACGCCGTCTGATAACTTCTCTGTTTTAAGGATGGACAGAACAGCCGAGACATTATTTTCCACATACTGTACATTACTGTTGCTCCTCTATGCCCTGCCTTTCTGAAACGCATCGGTTTTTACAAAGCTCCATCGGTCTGAAAAGCGAGGTGTGCTCTGATTGGCCAGCTATCTAGTGCATTGTGATTGGCCGAATTCCTCAAAACTCGCGTTTGAATCGTCAGTGGCAAATTCTTTAAATGTGAAAACGTACTTACGGGCTGTGAGTCAAAAGTGCCAGACTGTCCTTGCAAAGTTGGAATTGCCCCACTTTATAGAAACAGCCTTTGCGCACAGACGGCCTTGTATTCTCCCAGGTTCAGGAAACAGTCCTCTGTAAAATGCGATGCACACATTCGAATATTTGGGTTGAACTGTTCTGGAACAGTGTTGTAAATACAACTTAATCCCTGATTTCTAGTTGTGTCCTCTTTTGGAAGGCCAAACAAACAATGTAGTTTCGCTTTCACAATGAAACACACAGCATCTCCACGACATGGCGGCGGCGGCAACAATACTACAGCGAGAATCAAAGTTACGCCTTCTTTCTTTGCATGAACATTTGGGTGGTGTTATGCAAATTTTCCCACACAGTGACGTAGACATGTGGGGGCGTGTTTAAACGAGGCGTTTTAGGTGGGCGTGAACGAGTCTTAACGTTTATAAAGAATATCTTTTTGGGTTTGAGACTTAAGTCTTTGCAACTTTATGGATCTTATGTATGCAGGAACAGCTTGTAACACTCCAAAGAGAAAGGAAAACTTGAAATAGCATCATATGCTATCATCCTTTACTGAAGTAGTGATTAGGTGATCACCTGAACCAAACCTTATTTAATGAGGTTTAACAAGTATAAAAACTACTGCTGTGGTCATCACTATATCCTCTTGCGATAGGACCAGCTGGATGGCAAAAACCGTGCTAGTAGTACCTCAAAAGTAATATGGAATCAAATAATAACTATTGACCATGCCAAAAGAGTTTTGAGTGAGAAAAAGAATGACAAGAATGGCAAACGGCAGCTGGGGTGAAGTGCACGGTGGGGATGGTTCGAAACCTGCTCCCAGGGGCAGGGCAAAGCAAGAAAAAAAGCGCTTCATCAATGAGAAGCAAAGAAGAGCCAGGCTGAGGTTTGCAAAAGACTATAAGGATTGGACCATCTCTAATAAGACCAATTTTCAGCTTTGCCCAACACCTGGTCGTCTAACGGTTAGATGGAGACCTGGAGAGGCCTACAAACCACCCACTGTGAAATTTGATGAAGGATCGGTGATGATCTAGGAGTGCTTCAGCTGGAATCGGTCACATTCGTCTTTGTGAAGGGCACATGAATCAAGCCACGCACAAGGTTGTCCTGGAAGAAAACTTGCTTCCTTCTGCTCTGACAATGTTCCCCAACTCTGAGGATTGGTTTTTCCAGCAGGACAAACAGTCAGGTCAATCAAGGTGTGGATGGAGGACCACCAGATCACCAGAAACTTCTGCAATGTGATCAAGAGGAAGATGGATGGTCACAAGTCATCAAACAAGCCGAGCTGCTTGAATTGTTGTGCCAGGAGTGGCATAAATTCACTCAACAGCAATGTGAAAGACTGGTGGAGAGCGTGCCAAGGCTCATGAAGGCTTTTATGAAAATCAGGGATTTTCTACCAAATATTGATTTCTGAACTCTTCCTAAGTTAAAACATTGGTATTATGTTGTTTAAAAATGCACATGATCCTTTTTGCAGCAAGTGTTGGAGCGAAGGCTGTCCCCCTCAACCCTCAAAGTTTATGTCGCGGCAATCGCGGCTATCCACGACCCCGTAGAAGGGACATCGCTGGGGAAGCATGACCTGGTCGTCAGGTTCCTTAAGGGGGCGAGAGAGGATTGGTTTTTCCAGCAGGACAAACAGTCAGGTCAATCAAGGTGTGGATGGAGGACCACCAGATCACCAGAAACTTCTGCAATGTGATCAAGAGGAAGATGGATGGTCACAAGTCATCAAACAAGCCGAGCTGCTTGAATTGTTGTGCCAGGAGTGGCATAAATTCACTCAACAGCAATGTGAAAGACTGGTGGAGAGCGTGCCAAGGCTCATGAAGGCTTTTATGAAAATCAGGGATTTTCTACCAAATATTGATTTCTGAACTCTTCCTAAGTTAAAACATTGGTATTATGTTGTTTAAAAATGCACATGAACTTGTTTTCTTTGTATTATTTGAGGTCTGAAAACACTGCATCTTTTTGTTATTTTGACCAGCTGTCATTTTCTGCAAATAAATGTTCTGAATGACAATGTTTATTTGGAATTTTGGGAGAAATGTCGTCAGCAGTTAATATAATAAAACAAAAATGTTCATTTAACTCCAGCATGTACCTATAAATAGTAAAACCAGAGAAACTGATAATTTTACAGTGGTCTCTTAATTTTTTCCAGAGCTGAACGGTAATAAAAACAACATTTAATGAGTTAACTTACTCTTTTATTGGCCTTTGTTCTTAAAGCATTTTCAATTAAGTGCTTTTTAAATTTTATTTTTTTATTTTATTTTATTTTAATTTAATATAAAATATAAACTTCACATTTCTTTTAAATCCCCTCAAAATTATTCCCACTTATTTCCATTGTATCTCAGTTCCCTTTCAGTCGGTCACTCCCGACGTCACGTCGGATGACCGACGAATTGGGATCTCGCTTAGAGAGACCAATCTTACGCCAAAAAGTAGGGGCGCAGGTGGCTTCCACAGGACACTGGGATGGGCAGTAGCTGTGGCCTTTTGGTAGGATCCCAATTCGTAGGTCATCCGACGTGATGTCGGGAGTGACCGACTGAAAGGGAACGTCTCGGTTACGTATGGTAACCCTCGTTCCCTGAAGGAGGGAACGGAGACGTCACGTCCCGTCGCCACAGCTCCTGTACCACCGCTGAGCGGCCGGGTCACCGGCTCGGCTCCTCAGCGAAAACCTGAATATGCGCTGCATCTGCTGCCTACTTATACTCACGCTGTGATCAGCAGCAGCTGGATGCAATAATCGCATGCCAATGTGCATTGGCTCGTTTAGTTTACACTCGAAGTAGATTGGTCGCTCTAAGCGAGATCCCAATTCGTCGGTCATCCGACGTGACATCTCCGTTCCCTCCTTCAGGGAACGAGGTTTACCATACGTAACTGAGACGTTGTGTTGTATTGATTGTGGAAATCAATAGTGATGTCACTACACAGTAAAAATGTTGTACTTACGTATCACAGCACCTCATGGAATCAGCAGAACAATTACAGTCAAAACATTTACTGTTTCTCCAAACAGATCCAGTAGAATGCCATGTCTTATCTGTCGTGGACTGGCAAAACTTAACTATAAAAAATCAGAGAAAGAATTCAGGAAAAGAAAAAAAAAACTTGATAATGTGACATACTTTTTAGTAATGCAATAAAAGTGAAGGACATTTTAAATCTGTTGTTTTGTGTTCCACGTTGAAGCATCCAGCATTGATCAGAGGAAGGACAGCACACAGAAACAAACCAAGCACAAATGACCTCTTCACAGTCAACAAACACATTGATCCAATGTTAATAATCTATAGATGTGCTAAGTAAAGTGCTGCAATTAATGTATTGTTTATTAATTAATATTAATTAATTTATTGTTTGTATGGCAACATTTAATTATCATTGAAGCTTAACAAGTATAAAATATCACAAGCAATTGACACACATTTAATGAATCCTGCAATTAATTGTGAAAATTACCTATTAACAGTCCTAAAATCTACCAATTAAACTAAACATAAGCAATAAGAGAAGCTTACCATGGTTACGCTGACAGTGATTTGATTATATGAAACCAAAATCACAAAGCCTGTATTTAAGTGAACAGAGGAGGGTGGAGCAAAATGTTAATGATTCATTTGTCAAATGATTTTGAAAAACATTATTATTATTTTTATTATTATTAAGTACACATTTCTTTTTGTGCTTTGGTAATGATTATTGCAACATTTTTAATTGCAGAATAAGATAAAAACAAGGTCACAAACATACCTGCCTTATTGCAGTGCAGCTGCATTAAAGAAACACAAATAGCATATAGCTAAGTGTAGTGTTTTATTAAACAGATATGCTGCTCATTATTCTCTACATGCTAAGTAGAAATGTACAATATTTTAGAAATGTGCTAAGTAAAGTGCTGTTTGGACTTTGATGTCGAAGCAAACGACAGCTCAGCAACATTCCAGTGCAGCCAATGCACACTACTGTTCAAAAAATGTGGGGTCAGTATGTTTTTTTTTAGTTTTTTAAAGAAATTAAGACTTTTACTCTGCTAGGACATATTAAATATATCAAAAGTGACGGTAAAGACATTTATGATGTTACATAAGATTTCTTTTGTAAATCTTTCAGGGTATGTGGGAAAGGAGTCATCAAAATACATCAAATAACCACTGGGGTACCTCAGGGTTCAGTACCTGGCCCTCTTCTGTTCTCAATGTACAAAACATCACTGAGACTTACATTAAAGCACATTACATTAAGATTTTTTTGTACGACTGCTATGTCAATGGCATGCAGCTCTTGGCTTAACATTATCTACACTATGGGCAGCTGTAATGCTCTTTAAATTGGCTTTGGAGTTTTCATTGTGAATTAAGATAGAAAATTATATTGTTAGTAATTTATATTTCTATAAGAATAACTTCCTGTATCTGGATTTTTAAAAAATAACTATGTATTTAATATAACATTTAGAGTTGCAGCATATGTAAAGGATTTATTTATTTATTTACTTATTTATTGCATAATTCTAAGACACTTTTGTTTACAAAAGATAACACAGAGGACACTCAGCACATCCAAAGACTGGACTTCAGTATGGAAACAAACAACAGCTCTACACAAAGGCATGATAGGAATATACCATGTTTGAGAAGACACCAATCTGATTATATCAAACCAATCAAATACATCTTTCAACAAAGTTACATATAGTAACACATTTAGTATATTTTCTTAATTAGACATTAGAGCTTTCATTCTATTCAGTGTGATTGGACTCATTAGGTTGTAATGGTAAAGACGAAACCACCAGAACAACTGGAACTTCAATACCACATCCGCAAATAAATATAGTTTTTTTTTTTTCTCCAATGAACCCAATACATGTTGACAGGTTTGAAGTCCCTTTGACCAGGGCTGAATCTGAAGGCTTAGGTAAATATTTTGTGTTTGCCAATATCAGCATATCACTATTTTAGATGTTAATCTTTTACATGAAATAACACAACCTCATGTTTTCTGATGGTTAAGTGCATGTGCCTAAATGGAAAAAAATTATAAATCACTTCAGTTTACAGGGAAAAAAATAAAGGATTTGCATTTAGATTTTATAACTTTAAGTGAAGAAACTTTTGGTGCTCTACATTTTCAAAAATCATATTTTTAAGTTATTTTGAGTATTCCAATATTATATATTCCATATATTATTATATATATAATATATTCCAATGATTTTGTACCTATAATTTAAAAACGTTCTTCAAACCTAACCTATTTCACGCAAGGTTAATCTGTTGATATACAGTAACAGTTTTTCAAAATGAATGCATTTGTGCATTAAGTCAGCTGGTCTTAATGGTTTTTGTATGTGTGTTTGTAAAGTTTCAACTTCCAACTTCAGTATGTCACTTTCAACTTCATTAATTAATTATATATATATATATATATATATATATATATATATGGTACTATTGTCAAATGTATAGTTATGGTCAGAATTATTGCCTCCCCTTGGTAAATATGAGCAAACAAGTCTGTGAAAATATGCATTTTTTATCCTTTTGATCTTTCTTTCAAAAAAAAAAAAAATCACAAAAATCTAATCTTGTATTGGATTAAAATACTGAAAATGGAAAATGGGAGGGAAAATAAATATTTAATAAATAATTAAATAAATGCTTTTATGAAATAAATGTTTTTCTCCAATAGACAGTGCCCACAATTATTGGCACTATTTTATTTAATACTTTTTGCAGTTAAGTTAACAGCTCTGAGTCGTTCCTGTAGTGCCTGATGTGGTTAGAGATCAGAGACAATTCTTCCATATAAAATCACTCCAGACCCTTCTGATTCCCAGCTTCATGTTGGTGCCTCACCTCTTCAGTTCACCCCATTCATTTTCTATAGGGTTCAGCTCAGGGAACTGGGATGGCCATAGCAGAAACTTTGTTTTGTGCTCAGTGACCAATTTTTGTGTTGATTCTGATGTTTGTTTTGAATTATTGTCTTGAAGGAAGATCCAACCACTGTACATTATAAGATTTCTAGCAGGGACAGTCAGGTTTTGACTTCTTTTCATGATGTTTTCCCGAAACACTCCAAAACACCACTCATGTGGTGATGCAGGTGCTGTTTGTTATTTTTTTAGGCTTTCTGACCCCGAGACTCAGCTATTTTCTGCATTTCTCTAGCTGTGATCCATGGGGAGTCTGTGGCCACTCAAACTATCCTCCTCACCTTGCTTTAAGACAATATACACACGTCCTCTTCCAGGCAGATTCATAACATTTCAAGTTTATTTCATGTTCCTAGTCACCCTGGTAAACTAAAAGAAATGTAAACATGAATAGGGATTATACTTCATATTTTATTCATAAGAATTTCTGGGGTGCTAATAATTGTGGCCAACGTGTATTGGAGAAAAACATTCATTTCATAATGTGATCCCCCCATACACCCCACCCCCCTTCAATTGTTTTACTTAAATTAAAGGTTAGTTTTATTTATTTATTTATTTAGAATTTTTTGAAATGAAAGAACAAAAGCATAAATAATGCAGATTTATTTTCTATATTTCACTGTAAGTGGTACATTTTCAAAACTTTAAGTGCAAATCTAAGAGATTCTTAGATTGTCAAATCTGAAATCTTCAAACTGATCACGCTTGTAACACATCTAGTCTTTCATTAATAAGCTGCTGTGTCTTTATTAGGGATTTAAATGTGCCCTTTTACACAACCACTGTTTAAAACACAAGATTATTATGATGTTTAATGAGCACATTTGATTTAATCATAAAAAAAGGTGCAGATTTTCCATTGAATAATTTTAAGAATTCATTCAGTTAATCAGAAGCAAGTATTGCAAGATTCATGTTTTAAAAAATAAACCATACGGTAACTATAATGTAATTCATATGTAATGTAATCCTTTTTCCATTAAAAACATATACATTCTTTGAAATTTTACAAACAAATATCTTCCAACACATATTGTCCTCTGTACATGGACAAGTGTAAGCTATTTTTACAAATATAAGATGAAAAATTCAATATAACAAAAAAACAAAATTCCTTGTTCTCTTAGCTTTACTTAAAAAAATGCTTTATTTCAGCGATAAAAGAAAGAAAGAAAGAAAGAAAGAAAGAAAAAGAAAGAGCCAAACCTTTTGGTAATCAAGAAAATTAGTTGTGCCATTAATAAGTAGTATGCCGTACAGTTCTTGGGCCCGTTCTTCGTATGTGGGTTACTCAGTTAACTGGATTTTATTGTTATTTGACAAGATCCAGGATTGTTAAGTTCTTCAAAGCTCATCCTGGAGTCGCTGTCATAGCAACAGGTCCGTTAGCTTATTTCAGGTAAACAGGATTAGATTGAATCATTTTAAGTATACTGAAAGTCTGTCCCAGCCACTGGTATTTTCTTAGAAGAGAACCTTATTAAACCAGGAATAATAATAATAATAATAATAATAAACAGAATTTTTTAATTATTTTGAAAATAATTAAAATGTTGTATAATCTATAAAAAATAGACATGATCAACTTTATTAATTGGGAGATTTATTCATGAAGGAATTTAATTTTATTGCAGTCCACACACATTACGTATAGTTTGTCTGAGCCATGCATTAATTTGAATGCTTTTATGCAGGTAGCTTTGATGCATCGCAGAAGATGCAGCCACTTCTCAAACCTCAAAATATTTTATGATGCGCAATTAATTTAAACACAGTCAGTTATATCTTAAAGCAGCACTATGTAACTTTTTCTGTGTTCAAAATTTGCAAAATGTATATAATGAGCGAGTACATCATGAATTCATCTTCCAAACCGTGTTTTTGTCTTATTCCGAATCACTACGGTACACTTATAATAAGTACTTATATTTGGACTAGTGTAGCCTGGTCGGGTCGTCACCGCTGCGGAGGAACACATACTTGCGTGAATCGCCATAGACATAAATTTAGAGAAGTAGCTCCGGTTGGAATGTTCTTCCGCGGGATGTGTGCAGTTCTGTTTATTAACCGCTAGAGCGCCAAAAGTTACATAGTGCTGCTTTAAAATGGATCTTATGGATTAAGAAACTTTAATTAATGCTGTCACATATAACAAATTTGCTTCAAAATTAAATGAATTTCTAATTACAAACGGCTATTGTTGACACTGAAAAATGCAAAGCCTGTACAAATGCTAGAAATTGTAAAAAAAAAAAAGTTTTGTATTTGTTAGAACTCTTATGTAATTTTGCTCGCTAAGCTGTTTCTTTGATCTTAATTATATGATGTCATTACGTTACTGTCTTTTCGCCAGCCAATCACTGGATTGCTGATCATGCTTTCGAGTAACAATATATCTGCCTTTCCAATGAACATGTCAACACAGAGTAATCTCAGACAACTTATTCCAGATATTTCAATTAAATATGCTAACTTGTTTGAAGAACCAAATTAGCTAGAGATCAGTTATCAGGATTAAAAGATCTGGCATCTGTAAAATCATCTCAGATGTATTAAGCAAGGTACGAAAATTCAACTAAAGTTCAACTCATTCTCAT